AATTAAGCGAATGGTAATAAAATATATATGGAAGAATAAAAAACCTAGGATATCATATGAGGTGCTAAGCAGAAGTAAAGAAAAGGGGGGGTTGGGAGTACCGGACTTTAAAAGATACCACAGGGCAGTCATTTTAGCAAGAATTTTTGACTGGACACATAATTCAAAGAGCAAACAGTGGGTCACAATAGAAAACACACTTAGTAGAAAGGATCTGGGTAGGAGTGTATGGGTGCCACCACAGTTTAGAGAATTAGAGGAGAGCACGAGTATATACACGAGGATTGTAATAAGGGAGTGGGATAAAATGCACAAACAGAGGAAATGGGATTTTAATTCACTATTAATGTCACTAAGGAACTCAGAGTTTTTCCCCCCAGGTAAAGAGGAAATTTCAGGCAGATGGATTATGAAGGAAGACGCTCAGCTGAGAGATGTAATGGAGGGGGTAAACTTAAGAACACTAGAGGATCTGAAAAGGGAAGAGGGAAGGATTTTCACTAGGATAGATATATGGAGATATAATCAACTGAAACAATTTGTGGAGAAATTGACGAAGCCCCTTAGAACTAGGAAAGAGTGGAATGAATTTGAGAAATACTTAGAAGACAGAGGGGATGGGAAACACAGCACTGCTAAAGCATATAAAGCTCTCACGGATTTAGATAGTAAGCTTAAATTAAAATATATAGAAAAATGGGAAAAGGATTTAGGAGTGGAGTGGGAAGAGCACACACAGAGGAAAATACATAGAATGGTACACGAAAATATTAGCATGCGTGAGGTGGAAATGAATTTTAAATGTTTGACAAGGTGGTATCTTTACACCGGTGATAGAGCACAAGATGAGTAAGGAGAAGCAACCTTGGTGTTGGCGAGGGTGTGGAGGGTTGGGCACGATGTATCACATATGGTGGGAATGTTCAAAAATACAAGTATATCGGGAAAAAATTAGAAATCAAATCACAATTATCACTGGAATAGAGATAGGACTGGACCCTGAAACCTGTCTTTTTCATAATTCAATATTACCTGGAAATAAATATAAAGAACTGGGTATAATGTGCTACTTAAATGCAGCAAAAAGTCTGATTCCTAGGTTTTGGCGTAAAGTTGAGGCACCGAGGGAAGAGGATTGGATAAATAGAGTGGACCAGATTGCTAGAATGGAAAAACTTTATTATATGCAGGAAGACAGGATGGGGACATATCATATGAAATGGGAGAAATGGGAGGAGTTCAAAGTAAAGGTAAAGGAAGGTACTGAGTAAGTAAGCATAAAAAAAAAAAAAAAAAACAGGGAAAGAGAGGATAAGAAGAAAGGAAGGGAAAAGAGGAAAGGCCAAGGAAAAGGAGAAAATATAGCAATTAGCCTATCTTTCTTTCTTCTTCTTTTCCAAGCCTCGGTATCTAGAGGATGTGAGATATAAGTCGATCAGATAGATGTCAGGGGTATATTGAAGCGGGGTGGGAGGTGGGAGGGTTGAAAGGAAGGGAGTTATGGGGAGAAAATGATATGAAATTAGTGTTTTATGAGCTTTTTGTAATGTTATATTTTACATTATGGAAATGTGTATCGTTTTACTTGAAAAATAAATAAATATTTAAATGATAAAAAAAAAAAAAAACTCACCCCTTGGCCCTTAGATCTTATATCTAGTCCTGGGAACACTATGAAAAATTTGGTGATGCAAGATGGGTATCATCATAATTTGCTTTGATCAACAGGGAAATTTATGTGCATGTAAATTGAGGTGCAGCACCTGAACCATTGGCTCAAGCATCATGTAAGTGTAACGCTTACCACCGAAGGAGCCACTTTTCCTGGGAATCCCTGCTCCCATTGCTCACAACTTTCCAAGCAGCACCACACCCTCCGACACACAAAGACTGACAGGTGTACACAATAATACCATAACCAAAGAAAATGAAAAACAGCAATAATCACTAAATCAATAAACAAGTATGCAAAACAGTGGCAAAAAATAATGTATACAATTAGTAATAAGCAACTGGACCAGAGAATAACCTGTAATTCCTATACTGGGGAATGTCCCATCCAAGGGGCAAAGCTATGATAACGGTCCAGCAGTAACCCTTCCCTACTTGCCAGTACTTTGGCACCCAAATTCAGTGTTGGAGCACTTAAATTACAGTAAGTCTCTTCAAACCCATGTATATGTGCTTGTATAGCGATGCCAGCAGACAATATTGTTCCTTTAAGTAGGGTGTGATACGGTATGGCCTGCAGCCTCTCGCCGACTCCTATGGTGATGACTTGTCTCCTTCCACTGGAGTTCAGAGATATTAGTTGCAATTATGTCCATTCCACAATCACTCAGTGACACCAGGCTCAATAATAACATTCCCACAAACCATAAGATATCCACAATTTAGCCTCTCTGTGTCACCCACAAGGCAAACTGATCAAACAGTGTGTGTGTTCTCCCATGTCCTCTCTGTGTCTGTCCTTAGCCCAGGATCAATCCTTGATGTTCCTCTGCTGCAGAGCTCTGACCGTGAGATCTATAGTACCAGAGCTAATCTAAAACACAGGCTCAGTCCCCCTGGGGACTACAATCCCCATAGGTACTAGTTCCTCCCAGCAGGCTCATGTCATTCCCAGGATGCATAGCAGCTCAGTGTCCTCTTCCTCTATCTGTTCCTAGGTTTTGGGAAGGTTTTCCTTTGGCTGCACACAGCCTGAAGCACAGCCCTACAAGTGTCCTGTGTTCTCTCTCCCTCCTCACCGACAACTTAGGAGAGGAAAACAGTTGCAGCACTGGATATGTGTGAGCTGCAGCAGCATGCATGGCACTGTGACAGCCTCGTCCATGTAACTGTACTCCGGAGAGTGCCTTGGACTGGGGCTATATGGGAGTGAACTATATGTGTCTCCGACTTGTCATTTGTGTATGAAGACTATGCAGTTGTTCAGTTAGAGATGGGGTCCTCCTTTGCTTTTCCTCTAGGTACTACTGCAGTTGATATTCATCAAAATGCTAAGCATCACAGTTTCAATTCTGAAAAGCTAGAGCCACAAATCTGTGGTGTTTGAGTGCACTGAACAAAATAAATGTTCAGTGCACTCAATTAATTATTTACCAATAATTAATAAATAATTTACATAACTATATGTGGATATTTACCACTAAACACATAATTATATGTGTATAGTGGTAAATATCCACATATAGTTATATACATGGGTAATTAAAGTCTGCGGAGACGTTTTCACTTTTTCCTAAATAATAAACCAGTACAGGGCTGGTTTAGAAATTGGCGATGTGTTGCAGGGTTTCCCTTAACATTCCATACAGACACGTATCCAGTCATGTAGCTTTGATGAACAGAAAAGGGAGGCCTCCTTCCTGTACCATATCATACCATATGCCTTTCAACATTGAATGAGTACCTTACAAGGAGAGGGGGTGGACAAGCTTTCCAATGTTGAGGGGCAAGAGCCCCTTCACCACCGATGTGCACCAAAAAAGGAGGTGGGGGTATAATGTCTTCTCACTTATTGTGGAATCTGGAAGCCCCCTTTTAAATAAGGGGGTGATCAGTTATCCACCTCTTTCCAGAGAAATGGGTATAGGGATACATTAGTACACCTTACCCATTCCCACTAAAAATTAAAAATAAAAATAAAAACACCAACACTAAATGAAATATTTAAAAAAAAAAAAAAACAACACATATTTATCAGATTCAAAATATAGTGGATTAACATCACCAGAAGTAAATATACATCAATCCCAGTTTACGGAGAGTACTCTAGGGCACTACTGCTGTGGCTTAAGGTCAAAGGATTGGAGGACTTGCTTACTCCCTAATGATTCACTATTTTCCAAAATTTTAGTGTGAGTTATTGCCCCAGCAGAGGTAGTGTTGCTTTTTTGTTGTATCATTTTCTTCTCATGTTTTTAATCTCTGTACATCAAGTTCAGGAGCTGTGGTTCAATAATATAGGAGCTTAGGTTGACGTCAAGTATTTATTTTAGACTGCCTGTAAAAGATGTTTAAAAAATGTATTTGGTTATAACTTATGCAGACAGCATCAGTGTCTGACACCTCTACATGTTTTAGAAGGACAAACACAATCTCATCTGTATGCAGCTTTGTACATATGCAGCCAGTAAAAACACAGAAAGAAATATAAACTAAATACCCAATTCTTCTGAGTGTGGAAGAGCATGTAACCCCCTTCATGTGACAGTGCAAGCACTTTATGATTGGCCCAGGGTGTGGAGCATGCCTGTGAAGCTGGGGAGGGGATTGCAGGGCAAATTCTAGGTACACAGTAAACTTTTTTTTGTATCTTTATATCACCTTTATGTACTCACGTCTTTGCTCACAATTTTATGTGGGCAATTCTAATGCGATTCTGCGTGTCATGCATAGGGCAGCCTGTTGACTTGAATGGACTGCCCTATGCATGTTTGTCATGACAAAGAAGTTCAGGGACCACATTTTGGCCCTGAGCCAGGCATGATTTTACAAGCTCGTTTTGCAGTGAATCTCGTGTGAACAAAATCTCACAAGATGAACGGTACCCAAACGCATGTAATGTGTATTGCAGTGATTTGGGATCACGGGTAGAATTATGCTGATTATGCTCCCCATTCCTAATTGCCCAAGTGTCAACAGGGCCTAAGATATCAGAGTACCTCGAACGCTATATTTTTTTCCAAAATTTAGTTCACAAAGCTTTAGATTGATAATAACCATGATCTATAATTTTCAAACCTCATTGGAGATTTCAAAATAGGTATGTGTATCCGGATTGATTGAGCCTTCTGTCTGCCACTAAAAAGTTTGAATTGTCTGCCACTGACATTTCTGTTTGTGTTTAGGGAGACTTACAGGAGGTGGAAGATGTAGTGGAAGGACTTCAGTAGTGTGGTGATTCTAATTTATAGTTTAATATAGTCAGTTGTTGGGAAAGTGACCCTGGAAGCTGAATAGTGATGTCACAGACAGGGGTGGACTGACAACTCATGGGGCCCCTGGGCAATAGGGGATCATAGGGCCCCTGTGTCCTTGCCCAAACTCAAAAAAGCCTATGAAAAAGGTACCAGGGGCATCTCATGAGGCCCCCTACTGACCCCCGGGCCCTCGGGCAGGGCCCGAGTTTCCAAATGGTCAGTCCGCCCCTGGTCACAGAGATATGTAAATGACCAAAGTGGCTTAACAACACTACAAATCTTTTGGCATGAAAAGGAAAGAAGAAAGAAAAGGAAAGTAATAAAATATTTTTTTTTTTCCAGCCATTGTGCTTAAACTTGTAGCGCTTAAACTGATCAATCCTTCCTAATTCAACTTTACTTCCTAACTCTATGGTGTACAATAATGGCCACATTAAAGTGGGCCCCACCTCATATAACATTGGATAACAACATGCATGGGTTTCTTTTGCCTCTACGTGTTTCCCGGGACTGCACCACAATTCTATTGCAGAAATTATTATATAAAAAAATTGATTAGTTTCCACATCAACAGGAAATCAGAATCTCATTTACTATTTTTCTTTGCATTCCCAACAGATGTCATGCAGGTACAAAATACAACCATGCTATAAATTTTAGGAAAAAAAATATGGTATTTTCTGTTTGAAGCCTTAGGCTTCAGTGCAGCTGTACTGGAAGCATTGTAAATATTTCCCTTTTAAACTGATTGCTTTTTGTGTTGTATTCACAAATTCAATACCGTAGACTTAAAAAGACTTTTGAAAAGTGTCACCTGTGTTACAGGCTATGCGGAAACAAGAAAACATTTGTGGACATTTGTGCAGCAGTGTTTTCTCACAGATATGAGTAGAAAAGAGACAAAGAAGTATGGATAAGGATGTCGGGGGATGCTGCTAGGCTTATAAAATGCCCAGGGCACCCCTCAGAGGAAAAATCTGCAACGTGCTAGGCTCACTGTAGCAAATAATGAGCCTTGCCAAAGAGAACATGGAGGCATAGTTAAAACGTGCGTGAGCCTCTCAGCTTAGACACTCTAGCTACTACAATGTGTTCTCTGCTTTGTCAGAACAGAAGTAACCCCGCTATAGTCTTCACAGCAGAGAACACCTTCAGAATCAATACTGAATAGAGCAAGTCTTTAGTCTTGATTTTCTTTTTTTTTAAATAAAAAACGTGCACATCTAGACACAAAAAAGAGCTTGGCTTCACCATTAACTCTTTAGGACCATTTGTGTGATCTCCTTGAGACCAGTTTTATCCTTTCTTTAGTACTACAGTAGCCTACTCCAGTTGTAGTCTTAAATGAGTACTCAGTAAAACACATCCCTTTCTTCGATTTAATAGTTATCAACACCCCAACACAAGGAACCTCATCTGTTCCTAAGTTTCTTTGCAAAACCTCAATAAACATTGGCAAGCATAAGTCTGGCATACTGAATAATTGTGCCTGCAAACCTGGGTATTTGTCTCTAAAGTGCACACTTCTCTACCTTTTTCATAATGTTGCTTGCAACCATGCCTTGTTACTACATCATCTTTTGACTCCTAAAATATGGTCACCAAAAACCAATACCTTGTGGACATATTGAATCAATTCTATTACCTCTCTAGCCTCCTATTGGAGGTTTTCAGCATTCTCACCAATGCTATAATTGTTTATAAATTATAACAACATTTAACAAAAAGCTACAATTTCTGGGGAAATTGTGTGAAGTGTTCTTACTTTGTCACTCTGCTGTCTGCTCACACACCTGGGTTCCTATGGCAACTCATACAAAAAAAGAAGTTGTGAAAAGAGATTCACAGGAAAGTGGCTACATTTTGGACAGAATACGATACTCAGAATAATTTCCAAAAATTATGCTTTATTAAACATTAATAGTAGACAATAGGGTAATTACCCCGGTTCACCATCACCTCAGTATGAGATAATACTCTCAGACCTAAAACCACATCAAGACCAGACTAGATATGGATGTGCTGCATAGACAATGACAAATACCTGTCTAATGCATTAGCAGCACTATCACATTGGTTATTCTGAGTATCGTATTCTGTCCAAAATGTAGCCGCTTACCTGTGAATCTCTTTTCACAACTTCTTTTTTTGTATGCATATCTTTTGGCTACTGGACGGAAGCCATTTATTGGGTGATACAGTAAATATTTATATGAACCTCTACCCCTTATTTTTCATTATCCGTATTCCTATGGCAACTCACTCTACAGCAAGGGCAGAGAAGAGCGGTTAAAAACAAACTGCTCCAACTTGCTCACTTCACTGGCGGTTGCTATCTTCAAACGGTTGTTGTTTATAAATTATAAATCCTACAGCGAAGAGCTTTATATTGTGAGAATCACAAGGCCCAGAACTACATTTTGATGCATAGTATGTCTCTGAAATATTAAAAATGAAGGCACAGTCGCAGTTTAGACATTGCCCTTCAAATTTGAGGTGGCTAGAGTGGAGTTTCAATGAATGTCAATGGGAGGCGTGAGTTGCAAAACAAATGGTCATATTGTGAAAACTATCAGGACTATGGCTTAGCCGTGGACATTTTTAGTGGCAGCAGGGATAGCTGAATGTTTTGATATAAGATTTGTGTAGGTGGGCTTGAAAATGAGGGAGTGATGGCAGTTTAGAAATCATGTCCTGATTTTTCAGCTCACACTCTAGCTTTTGTCAGCTCCCACACTAGTTTCGAACATTCCGCCATTCATTCCTATGGGACCAATTTCACCACAAAAACGCCGATATTTCGTGAACCATTCGGCGAAACATTCCACAAGGTAATAGCACACCAATCGGGAACAATCCGCACGTTTAGGTATATTACTGTCTATGTAGTGTAAAAACTGTGGGAGGAGTTAGGGTGGTAAATTTGGCTATAATAATAAGAATATATATGTGATATAACAGTAAGTGGTTTCGCCATGCAAGAACACTTAATAAATACTTAACATACAGTTATTATCTAGCACAGGATTTCTCAACCAGGGTTCCATGGAACCCTAGGGTACCTCCAGAGGTTGCTAGGAGTTCTTCGAGCAATGAGCAATTTCTGCCTCTCAGATAAGTTCCCAATGACACTTTTGATCTTTTTAGGTATTTATAAGGGGGTAATTTTAATGACAACAAATATAAGGGGCATTCTTCCCATTGACATTCACACTAATGTATCTTGAGTTGTAGATATAGTAATTTTTAGCAGGGGTTTCATGAGACCAGAAAATATTTCAAGGGTTCCTCTGTGTTGAAAAGATTGAGGAAGGTTTATCAAGCATGTTTATTCAACAACCAATAATAAAACAAAGGATGTAACAGAAAAAGAGCAATGCTATGCTGTGATGAATACAGATGCACATGTCAGTGTAGTGTTAGCAAGTGAAGAAGTGCATGTCAGTGCAGTGTCGGTGAATGAATAGGAGCATCAGTGAGGTGACAGCAAGTGAATAAGTGTGCATTGGCACAGTAGCTGTAAGTAAATAAGAACATATGAGTGCAGTGGCAAATATTCTGCTGCTGAAAAGTGGATAAACAAAGAGTGCTTTTTGCACATCTCTTGTAAAGTAAACCAGAGTATGGAACAATACCTTTACAATTTTTTCTTAATAAGTATACACAACCGATAGTGCTTGCTAACTCTTATCAACATGTTCAAAAATATATATATAACATAAATGTGTACAATTAAAAAAAAAAATGTTGCTTACAATGTCATGATAATCTACGAGTGCAAAGTCAAAAAAATATGTGCTCCTCCAATAAAATATATAAAGAAAGTGAAGAAAGTGTTGTATCCACTGATACCACTTATACTGTAGCTATTCCACTACAGGTGATTGTAAACATTGCATTCACCTGATCATAAACACTCCACACTCACCTCAGAAACCTTCTGAGGACGTCACACATTGATGATGAAACATGTCAAACGGAACTTCTGGTGCGTGAGTCCGTGAGTCCGGTCTAGCGTGAAATGCACGCTGAGGAGTCGGCGGCTTCCAATTGATTGGAAGAGAGATTGCCCTCACGGATATATATATATATATATATATATATATATATATATATAAGTTTTATGGCCACAACTTTTATATGTAACCTAATTTTTAAAAAAAAAAACAGTTTTCACACTATGGAAAGATTCCTCTTCTTTTTTTTTTTGGATGGCAGCATTTGTACAGCAGTGTTTTCTCACAGATATGAGTAGAAAAGAGACAAATAAGTATTGATAAGGATGTCGAAGGATGTTGCTAGGCTTACAAAATGCCCAGGGCACTCTTCAAAGGAAAAATCTGCAACGTGCTAGGCTCACTGTAGCAAATAATGAGCCTTGCCAAAGAGAGCATGGAGGCATAGTTAAAAAGTGCCTGAGCCTCTAAGCTTGTGCCATTGAACCAACTGCTGAGGAGGTGACAGCAGGGTGAAGTGGTGAGCAGGAGATCCAACTAGGTCCTTGGGTGACCAGAAAGTGCAGTTTGACTTTTCTTGTTATATAACAAGGGGGTCAATATGATCCGGTGAGCGCAGAGTGTTTACAATCACACGGGGTGGAATAGCTATTAAGCGGTATCAGTGGATAAAGCACTTTCTTCACCTTCTATGGACTTTCTTTATATATATATTTTAATGGAGGAGCACATATTCTTTGGACTTTGCACTTATAGGTTATTATGACATTGTGATCAAAAAGTTTTTTTGAATAGTACACATTTATGTTATATATATATTTAATGCACAGGTTGATAAGAGGTAGTGTATACTTATTGAGAGGTAACAGCTGAATTTATAAGTCTATAAGGTATTATTTGGCATGGGTGATTACTGTATACATTTTTTTCTTACCAATGTGATGCTTGTGGAGCATTGCATTTCAGCTTTGTGGGGTTAATATTTTGTATTCCTTATTTGTATATGTTTATGTATTTTATTTTATTTTATTTAGTTTGCTTCATTGGTAAGTTGGTGAATAATGTGCTGTTTGCTGAAATGAAACCATATGATGCTGTGACCTTAAGAACTCAATCTACCCACTG